CATAATACACTATAAATTTATTAACAATTTAGTTAAATGCACGAGATTACATACAATAATTTCCCAGCAGGCCTACAGAGAAGATTATACAAACTAATCAATTTTGACAAATCAACGTAAAGACAACCTAAGCTAAGTTATTTCCAAGTTCCAGCCAGATACTGAGAAAAAAAGATTCATGTAGCCAAACCCCATGAGACTCAAGGCTTCGTTTGGTTTGGAAACAAATTTTTAAAAGAAAATTTGACAAAAGGAAAAGAACATAAAACTAGTCAGTTCGGTTGCCTGGACATCAAACTGGTCCCAACAAAACCAATAATCAACACAACCAGTAGTCAAAACAAATTTAAACAAACATATTTAAGGGGTTTTTTTTTTTTTTGGCTGCAGCTTAGACCAACTCCAACACTACTCTCCATTTTTCACTGGCTAAATTACAAAAAAAAAATAATAAGAATAATAAGCCCTTTATTTTACCTAAACACATTTTTGCTCCAACACCTCTCTCTATTTTACCTATTCATTCAAAAACGGTTAAAAGAGCCTCCAAGACTGATAGCTAGTTAGCTAGATTGTCGAAGGCAGTGAAATGGTGTGAGTCTAGCTACAATAACCAACCCATCTTGTTAAAGAGCCTGTTAGTTGATATTTTTTAGGCATATTTTTACATTTTTGTGAAAAAAATTCAACCTTTTTTAAGTAAAAAAAAAAAAGACTTTAAAAAATAAAAAATAATAATAATAATTCAGGAAAGCCAAAACTAAACCAAAAAAAATTAGGTTTTTTATATACTACTCTTAGGTTATTTCCGTCCTAGTGAATTTTTTAAAAAATATATAAATTTCCTAAGTAGACTTTAAAAAATAAACAAAATTTGACATTAATTTCTTTATTTTTATTTTTATTATTTTTTTAAAAATCCAGTTATAAGCTGATTAAGCAATATTGAGACTTGTTTGTTGGAACTAAACATCGGAGAATGCAGTTAAGTAAAATGCCCGGTTGTTTCATTGCTGTTTCTTGAATTATGGGTAGCTAGCAGCAACAAAACAGAGTGAAGTAATTGAGAAATACATGGCTATTCCAGAACTCAAAATGGATCAAATTAAGTAGCAAAAAGAAGAAACTAAGAAAGAATTAAGGCATGGAGAGGTACCGCAGCCAGTTTCGCCGACGATGAGAGTGGCGCGATTTTCCTGAATCTGCTCAACGATTTTGTGCCTGAGTCCCATTATTGGAAGATCAGAGAACTTCGGTGATGATGAAAACGGAGACGAATACGTTGAATATGATGATGAAGTCGGAGACGACGCCATTGTCATACCTCAAAACCCTTGCTTTCTCTTTCTCTTTCTCTTTCTCTGTCTCTGTCTCTGTCTGTCTCTCTCAATTTATAGTCTCTCTCGCTCCTTATTGAATAAGGAAAAGAGAATAGAGATGAATGCATGAAAAGAGAATAGAGAGATGAATGCAGGTTTTGGGAAAATACACGCTCGCTACATGCTCGCTCCGCCCACACGAGTCTCTCTCTCTCTCTCTCTCTCTCTCTCTCTCTCTCGCCCCAAGTCCCATTCTCTGTTGTTGACTTTGTTTGACCGCGAGCGAATGGTATTGCTCCGCCTACCTCCAACCCCACACCAAATATTTCATTAAATTTAAATTATTTTTTACGATTCTAATTCAGCATCAAATATTTTATTAAATTCAAAAAAAAAATTAAATCATTTATCAAATTAAAGATGAGTATACCTTTTATCAAATCATTATTCATAATCATTTGAGTTATAAGTCATTTTTACCATTAGACGACCCTCAAATGTTAGGTTGGTTGTCTTCTAATTGACCACCTCCTTGTAAATATTTATAAAAAAATTACACTGGCCAGTCGATCGGCCCAACATCTATCATGACAATTGGTGTTTTAATAAAATGTTCAAATCTTTCGTTGAAACACGTTATATTAAATGAAATTTTTATTCAAATTTAATGGAAAAAAAAAAAGAGATTCTCGCAGACTTTATAAAATGGACGAGAATTGACTTCGTCACAAGTTATATTTTGATAATTTAAACTATTTATTTTGTTAAGTATTTTGTGTATTTTATTTATCAATAAAAATTATGTCGATTCGATAATTGTAAGTTTTTTTCAATTTATTATTTTTATAATAAAAAAATGCATGATTCGTTTTTGTTAAAATATAATTATCGTTCATTTTTTTAATAAAAACACGATGAATTGAATAAGTTATCGTTAGTGAATTGTTGTTCATTTTTCTAATGAAAAAAGGGTAAATTGAACAATTTAAAGTAATCAAATCAACCTAATTTTTTTGTGAATAAAATATATATAGTGTCTAACAAAATAAACAAATCAGATCATCGAGACAGTGCCTGTGCCAAACAATCCATTACAGTTCAGATTTTGGATTAGAATAATCATCTTCTTTATAAAATATCAATAACACAACAAACTCATAATTTATCTAAAAAATAAATAATAATTCAAATTTATTTTACTCAAAAACTTCATATTTTATCGTTTTAATTTTCACCATACACACATTTGAAATAAATTATAAATTGATAAAGTGAGTTTATAACATTTTTGATAAATTATTATAGGGTAAAGGTACACGCGAGATGCATTGACGCGTTTACTTTTTGGTTCCTTCGTGACCACGTTACGAGAAAGAGCTGTGCTACATAGCTAAAAAGGGTGCCCCCCGAATCCCCCTAATCCAAAAACGACGTCGTTTCGTCGTTTTTGAATTTTTTTTTTTGTTTTTTTTTTGGTTCAATCAGAGAAGAAGCAGAAGAAGGGAAGAAAGAGAGAAGAAGGGAAGAAGAAGAAAGAGGTAGACGGCGGCGGCGGAGGCAGACGACAGACGAGCTGCGACGATCGGCCGAGCTGGGGCGATCGGCTGGGTGATCAGCAGAATGGAGGGGCCTCTCTCTCTCTCTGTTTCCCTCTCTCCTCTCCTGTCTCTTTCTCCCTCTCTCTCTCCGACGATCGGCTGGGTGATCGGCAGATGGAGGGGCCTCTCCCTTTCTCTGTTTCCTTCTCTCCTCTCATCTCTCTATCTCGCCTTCCTCTCCTCCTCTCTTTCTCCCTCTGTTTCTCCCTCTTTCTCCCTCTGTTTCAGAAAAAAAAAAAATAGAATGCCCAAAACGACGTTGTTTTGGGCATTCGGGGGATTCGGGGGGAAGAACTTTCGAGCTACTCTCCGACGATCGGCTGGGTGATCGGCAGATGGAGGGGCCTCTCCCTTTCTCTGTTTCCTTCTCTCCTCTCATCTCTCTATCTCGCCTTCCTCTCCTCCTCTCTTTCTCCCTCTGTTTCTCCCTCTTTCTCCCTCTGTTTCAGAAAAAAAAAATAGAATGCCCAAAACGACGTCGTTTTGGGCATTCGGGGGATTCGGGGGGAAGAACTTTCGAGCTACAAATCATTAATCTTACGAGAGAGTGGGTCCCCGAATGTTTTTGTTTTGTATTGGCTCCACCGGATTGCATCATGTGGAAAAAACTACATAGGACATAGGAATCCAGATAATTTTATTTTTATTTTTTTTTGGCAAATAAGATAAGATAAAGGTTTGTTTGGGTAGATAAATTTTAATTTTTTAATTAAAATATAAATTTAAATTTTACATGTTTGAAAATTATTTTTAAAAATTTTATAACAAAAAGTATATAAAAGTAGACATAATGTAAATAAATTTTTGATGTTTTTATATGATTTTTTTAACTAATTTAACCCATAGCCAAATAATCCCTTAGCAAATGTTGTTTTACTAATTTTTTTTTATTTTTCAATTTTTTTAGAATTCAAAATTTGGATGTATTTTTAAATTATTAAGAAAAAATATTTTTCAAATTATATTTTTAATAATAAATCATCATATTGTCCTTATAGTATCGTAGAGCCTTCTTGTAAACCCAAATTGGAATTTCTTAAAGTATTTAGGGCAAATTTGTGTTTTCATAAATTTACTTTCTTTAATAAATAATATTTGTGTGTGTGTGTGTGTGTGGAAGATCTATCCTAAACAACTTTACTTGCTTTTGATTTTTTTATCAATAAATAATCTACTTATTTAATTATTTCCAAACAATAGCTAAGTATTTTAGAAATATGGTTAAAAGTCATCTTTCAGCTTTTAACCAATTTTTTATCATATCATCTCTTACATTTTTTTTTTCATGTTTTTTGAAAAAAATTAAAAAAAAAACCAAAAAAATCAATTTTTAACTATTTTCTCAAAACAACCCTCCATTCAATAAAACAATGCATGAAGTGATTAAAATCTATTTGAAGTGTATTGTTGCACATTATCTCGAACAATCTCAATTAAACAATATGATTTATGTATTTTTTGTATTATAGTATTTATACTAAAATTTATTGTTTGCTCTGTTTATTTTCATTTTTAGATTATTTTTATGATAAATTTTTTTGTTCCACAAATATGAATTAGTTTAATAAAATTAAATATTTTAAAAAATTGATTTTTTTTTAAATTACACATATAATAAAACCATATAAAAATTTATGAGTGCTCTTATGCCTCATTTGGGAATAGACTATTTTAGTAGTTTTTTGACTTTTTGACTAAAATATGAGGTAAAAAAAACTAGTATATTTGAAATGACTTTTTGATTTTTTATGAAAAGATGTGCAACAAAATAGAGAAAAAAATAAATCTTTAATTTTTTGGTATAGATTGCTGACTTTTTAATTTTTTTATAACTTTTTGACTAAAAAAATCACTTGCCAAAAGAAACCCTAGGCTTCCAAAAATCTTGAACCACTACTGGTGGTGGTGGTGTGGTGGAGTAAGTGAAAGTGATAGTATGGTAGCATTGCTAAGATATTAGTCTAAAAAATATTTTCGTGTCCACAAAATAAATTTATTTTTAATTTTTTCATTAATGTTTTTTTTTATCGTACTAAATGCCAAAACACAGCGTAAATTGTAGGCTCTCAAACTAGTATATATATATCCCCAAGAAAACATACTTCTTTAAACCTATGCCTCCATGGATTATGTAAAAAGGTAAGAAAAAAAGTGGTTATATGAACATGATTGCTTATTGTTTACTTCATAAAAATGAAAAAGCACAAACTTGAGTTTATTGGAGGATCACAGATCTCTAATCTCTATTCTGTCCCCTTACGAGAACATTCACTATACAGCAGAGCTACAAATATGGTACAACAGGATACAGACAAAAGAGGATAGACACGACGAGCCTACACCGATTTGAAATCTCATATATAGTGGAGGCCAACCGCTGGACAGGTCAGACCGGGCAAGAACGGTCAATAAATATGTCTCCACGGTATGATCCAGAATTCTCCATTTCCCAGCTTCTTGTGTCGTAATGCAGAAACATTACCTGTTTGCAAGCATAAAATTTAGAATTTTTTAGTCTAGTGAAAGTGAAGATCCAAAGCGAAATGATAGGGATAAAACATTCATAGTTCGAGTAACAGTGACAGTTCTAGTCACAGACAGTAATGAATGAAGCACATTCTGAATTTTATCTGTGATGAAAATTATTTAGTTAGGCATAGTGATGGAGACAGTATTTCCATTTGAACAATGAAAATTCTCGTCCTACATGTACAGGATATTTCAAGAAGTGAACAGCTTTCTTAGTAACAGGGTCTGAGGAAACAATAAGAAAAATGATTTCATTATATTTCTGCTTACAACTTAAGAAGCAGAAATAATTTATATACGCTGAAAAAAACTGATTATTGGGAAGCAGAGAAAAGAGTGCTTTTAGCTTATATTTTCTGATTATCAGCTTTCAACTTGCAAAAAACTACACCAAACAGGACTATTGTTAGTTTACCCAGTTTGAGAAAGCCGCCTCCAGTTCATTAGTTGGTGAGACTGTGGATGCCTCTGCAAGAAAGATGAACTAGTTCCAATCCCATTTTCTTCACCCACAAACTGCTCCGAGTAACTAGAAGTCGAGGGAGACCACACGGGAACTACGCCTCCGTCCCTTTCTCTCCTACTACTATTACTAGAAGATTCTGCCATGGAATCTTCAGCATTTTGCAGACCTATTCTAATGTTAAATTGTGGTGGAGTTGCGTTGCTTCGGACTGCTTGCAATTGCATAACACCTTGGTTTAGTACTTCTCTCCTCGGTTCTTGATTTACATTGACATTCGTTGGCACTTCAGCCCTACTGTCTGTTGCACGATTTCTGAGATCAAGAGAAACTTCTTCCTCTTCAACCCTTAACAATGAAGAAGTCATGCTGGGGACCATCTGATCCTCATACCGTCGGGCCATTGTAGGGTTGTTGTTCCTTGCAGGTTCATGGACGTCGACGTCCATTTGTGTGTCAGGAGGGAATGCAACGGGCAATGCCTCGGATTCTCCGAGCCCTTCTTCAGTTCCATTCTCAAGTGCTGCTCTTGAAGTTGCTTCATGTTGCCACATCTCTGAAAGTGCTTCTTGCAACCGGGCTTTTGCTGCGTCTATTTCTACAATGGGAAGAGGATAGTTGGAGCCGAGCTCAATTCCAGCAGCTTGGAGTACAGATTCTGGTGCATTCCAAGGGTGGTGTATCCATTCAGTAGGCAGTCTAGCAAGTTCAGGCAGCCACCGGCGTACATACTCTCCATTTGGGTCGAATTTGTAACCCTCAAACTGCAAAAAACCAATGAGTAAATATGAAACTCCACTCTGCTGACATTTTTTATCACATAATAAAATAAAAAAAAA